GTTTCACTGGCAAATGGTTCAACCTTAGGGTCACTGGACCTGTCTCTCCTAACCACACACACACACACACACACACACACACACACACACCCTTGAAGGTAAGTCACGACTGCTTTTATAGCCAAGTGCCTGATAGGCATCCAATAAATCCATTATAGGAAGGTGCTTGACTTCCTTATAAATTATAAACTTCTCAGTGCCAAGAGGTCCCATAGCTACAGCTCTGCAGTATCTAGCAGAGGTATATCCTGTCTGTCAGTCAAGCATTTTTATGCTGTTGGCAAAATACAGAGCTAACTCTGATCAAAGGATTTACAACCTTTTTCTCCATTCTCTTCTGTTTGCCCTGAGGAAACTTCTTCCCTCCACACCACCACAATCGTCCTCTGTGCCTCCCCTTGCTGGGCTCTGCTTCAGTCCACATCAATGGACTTTCTGTTTCACTCGACTGTGAGCTCCCTAAGGCCAAGTGTCTCTTCAGTCAAGGCTAATGATGTAGTAAACACTCACTAAATAATTCTCGATAGTTTCATAAAAAACAACTTTTCCCTCAAGTTCTTTGTTTATATAGGAGTTGTTTAAAAGAAAAACAAAACCACTAAGATTCAGCTCCTAGTTTAAGGGACCCTGGCTTGGTGGTGTGTCAGTTTCATCGAGTTTTGTTCATTTGAAGAAAGCAGACCTTTTACTGACAAAGAATAAAATACCTAGGATTGAAGGGAAAGGAAACAGTTATTTCATAAGTTACTAAAGGGTCACAAAGCACACTAGAAGTTTCTAGTTAGGAGCTCTTTTCTGCAAACAACTCCTTTTATTTAGTTTGGGAAATAGTTTATTATAAAAAATTAATTACTTTCATGGACTCTTTTAATTTATAAAGTTTTAACTTATGGAAGACCCTGGTTAATCAGACAAGGACAGAAGCAACAATGACTCTGTGGTGAAGTCACCTGTGGAAAAATAGGTATTTTCCACCTTTCAACAAATAACACATCCTAGGCAGGTATGTAAAGTTTTTGTCCATTTATATAAGGAAGCCAGGTGACTTGTTTGCTTTGGTTTTTAAGAGCACACCAGGCTGGGTTGGTACTATGTGGCCCAATGGCCTTAAATTCAAAGTAATCCTTCTGCCCCCAACTTGTTTAATAGTTTTTAAAGAAATTTACTAAATATTGGCATAAGTTAGAGGCATATTTTATACATACACTTGTGTACTGATTTACAATTAGCTCATAGATTTTTTTATGGATTTTATTAATGTGACGTGCACATCCGTGTGCGTGTGTGTATGTGTGTGTGCGTGTGTAGATAGGTGTGTGCATGTCACAGCACTCGTGGTCAGAGATAAACTTTCAGAAGTCAATTTTCTTCTTTTTTGGGTTTCAGAGATCAAATCCAGGGTGTCAGGTGTGGGTGACAAGCACCTATTGAACCACCACAGGCTCATAATTAGATTTTATCAGTCATGTTTAAATTATGTTATGAAAGAACAACTAAGCAAAACTCAAAAGAATACCTGACTGCAGTTATTACTGAGGTCTTCAACAAATGGCGCGACTTTAAGATTGTGTCCGGCTACTTCGTATCGCTAAGCACTGTGATTTAAGTGAGTCAGACTCCCCTTTAAAGAATGTGTGATAAGTAACAGATCTCTCTGAGGCCTTAAATGTTCTCCCCCATTGCTATCATCTGAGCAAATACCATGTACCAGGTAGTAATTATTTTTCCCCGGTCCGGAGAGACTGTCAATGCAAGATCTCATAATGCTTGATCACTAAACCACAGCCCCGGGTTTATAGTCACTGTTTCTAATAATTTACTTATTTAACAAATATCTACTCAACACCTACTATATGGATACATCTATGGACCAGACATTAGTTCATCCTTCCAATATATTATAAACTACAAAAGGCACCTCTGTAGGATGGGTAATGTGGTCTTTATTTTACAGATGAAAGAATCAGGATGGAGGAAGCCTAACAGAGACCCGGCTGTCATCAATGCTCTTTCCAGCAAACAGCTGCCTTTCTCCACTCTTCCTGCTTGGTTTAACTTACTCATCCTATTTCATGAACTACAGCAGTTGTGAAAACAGATTGAGCCTGTAGTGGGAAGGCTAAAGGTCTTGCTTAAAAGTCACTGCTCTCAAATCTTCTGCTAATATAAAAAGCAAATGTTACTATTCCAGTTGTTTGGGATTAGAAGAAAGAAGGCCTGGAAACACACATATCTAAGAGCCAGAAAGCAGAGGGTTCTTAAGCCTTTGAGAGATGCAGCTTGAGGGTTTTGTTGTTTCTCCTGCTCTTCCTGATTGTCACAGGAAGGGTGGCAAACAGTAGGGGGCCCAACCAGCTCCTGAGAGAGAGCTGGAAACCGTCCCCAGCCTTGGCAGGCCTTGTCTTCAGCATGCACCTTTGCTTTCTGTGGCTCTGCCTGCACAGGACCGCTGCACTTAATTAGGAGGTGTAGTTGTGAACCGACACAGAAAGGCGGCAACTGCACCCTTCCTTTGGCTTCCTTCTTCTCAGCCATTTCTTCCACCTGACAAGATAGGATTCCTCACAGCAGCAGTGGAAATACAGCTAAAGGCACAACACCCTAGGAAGAGACTAAGGGCGGCACCACACTGGTCCCTTTGTCATGGGTCTACACTAGTATTGTACAGCCAGCCATTCCCACAATTAACTACCCCTACAGCCCCATGTTATCTTCCTACAGTACTGACCACGTCTCTTTCTTCTGCAGACTGAAGGCCTCTGCAGATTGCAGCCAGTTTACAAAGGGAAGCTCACTTACCTAAGAATGCCTGTCAGTCTGACCCTAACCCCACCTACTCCTTCCAGCCCTTATCTTTCTACACCAGAGGCAGCAGTAGGTCCCTGTGCAGGCTGTGATCTTTCAGGCCTCCACACTTCTGGACAAACTCCTGTAGCTGTTAGCAGTATTTCTTCCCTCTTGCTAGCTACAGAAACTAAGCTCATTTCTTAAGACCCCAAGAAAATGATTTCTCCTCAGCAAAAGCTCCTCTCGTCTTTCAAATGGTCTTGGCTGCCCTCCTCTGTTTCCACATTTTGCATGCATTTTTTATAGTATTAAAATAACGAATTGCAGTTATTCAGACTTTGCAAGGTGAATCTCTAAACATTATTTTTTCCCTTACGCAAGCCCCTCTAAAATCGCCCATTTTCCTGGCTGGTATAAAGCAAGTCTTCAATAAAATGTCTCTTAACAGAGTCAGTGTTGTAAAACAGAAACCACACATTGATAAATGATGTAATTATTTCATACTAGTTTATTTTAGATATTGTGCTTCAAAAACTTTATCATAAATAACTTTTCATATCATAAAATAACTTAGTACGATTTATAATAAAACTTCTGAGAATTTAACCTCTCATCAAAATACATTAACCTGTGGCTTTAAAATACAATTAATCCTTTTCACTTTCCTTTTACTCGAGGGCATAAAGACAAAGAAAAAACAAACAAACAAACAAAACAAACACCAAACTATTGCTACACATTTAAGGTTTCAACAAAGCAATATTTGGCTTATTTTAATGTAACTCGGCCATCCTAAATTAATAGTTTTCTTTCTTGCACAGTTCTTTGTAGTTTTTGTCCCTTTTGACGTAGATTTCTGCTTCAACACAGCTTCCTTCTTTATTTCCACCTCTCTCCATCTGCAAAGTCATCTCCTAGCCCCCGTGTAGTTGAACTCACTCAGCCCCTTGACATCAGTTTCTGTAATCCTTGCATCAGCGTAGGGAGTAACTGCTTGAGTAACTACAAAGGTATTTCAAAACTTCAGTGCAATTTGGTTCAGTTATTTCCATTCAGATGCCATCACCGTTCCGGGAGGTTAATCACTGGAACCCACTGATCCATGTAGCGACTTTCCCGGCAAAAGCAAATAAGTTGACTTAAGGCAGGATCCTTCCATTGTGATGAATGTGGGTTCTGAGAACAAATAAAAAAAAATATTTCCCCATAAAATGATCAGCTTATGCTTCTAATAGTACTACTTTTGAAAGGGCCAAAACCTGAACATTCTGTTAAATAGCATTTGGCAAAGTCTAAACACCTTGTAATACACACTGGGCCACACAGAGTTTTGCATAGTTATCTGTACCACTCTGCATGAGGTTATCATTCACAAGTCCGCCCTAAGCAAGCATGCACACCAGTGGGGTCATAAGTAAAATAGTTCTGAAAACCATTCTGGGAGCACAGCTGGGAGAGCTGCAGGGCAGGCAGCTAAACTAAACAGCAGTTCTTATCTTCCCTGACGGCGCAGGGCACTCTTCACTGGGAGCAAAAGTAATCAGGCTGCCACTTGCCCTACACCGGTCAAAACAGAGAAAGAAAAACAAAAAACAAAACCAAAAAACCAGAGGATCAGGACAGCACATTTCTCTCTGAAAACACTATCCATCCCAGACATTTTTAAAGGGGTAGGTGCGTGGAGAGGGACCATCTAAACAAGCACAAAGGTGCAGAGAAAGAGTTCCACTCTGTACACTCCAGAGTATCTCCAGGGAATTAATAAGGTCTGTCTGTCTCCTACACTCTTTCTATATTTAGCTTTGACAGCAAATGAAGAATGAAACTGACTTCTTAATGAAGGGTGAGCCGGGTATTTATTTGGCTTTATCTAATCTGTCCTGCTCAAAGAATTAGTCACGCGAGGTAGTGCCGAGGTAGGCAGGGGTAGCCGGGCAGCCTGCTGACTCACAGGGATATCTTCCGCCGCTGGAGGCCACCCACGAGCTTAGACACGCTCGGTACCATCAGAACCCCCGCGAGATCAGCGTCCAGCACGGCCGAGGTCCACCCCAGTAAATTCCCGGCTGCAGTCCCGAGTCCCTTACCGTCACCAGCACGCAGTGCAGGTCAGGGGGCTGCGCCGCACCCCCGTTCTCCGCCTGACTCGCGTCGGTCTCCAGCAGCAGCAGCTCAGCCAGCCGGCCCGGGTTGCTGACCCGCAGGATGTTGATATCGTTCTCGCAGCAGAATGCTTGGATGAGGGTGAAGTGGATCTGCAGAGCCACGTCCCTGTCGTCGTCCTCGTCCGCGGCCAGCAGGCACAGTACCACGTTGTCGGGGTCGCTGGGGGCAGAAGGCAGCGGTGAGTGCACACGCTCCAGGGAGCGCAGGGTCTGGAGGCGGGGGGTGCGGGCGGCCGGGGCCACTTACACATTGAGCAGCTTGGCGGCCTCGTACACGCCGACGGTGATGGTGCGCTGACTCCGCGCCTTGCTGAGCACTTCCTCCAGGGCATCTCCCACCGTGTCCATCCTGCAGACGGACGGGGCGAGAGCGGGTCAGCCGGGTCCCCGGCCGCGGGAGGGGCAGCGGCCCCCGAGTCCGCAGACACACTTACCTTTCGGTCTTCTGCTCTGCCGCCGAGAATTCCTCCAAAGTCATATTGCAAGTGCGAAATCCCTCACGCGGCGCGCGGGCTGCTCCTGCCCCCCCAGTGCGCGGCGCCGGCTCTGCGCTCGCTCCCACCCGCCCGCTTCGCTCGCCTAAGTATCCGTAGGTGACGTGACGACCGCACTGCTGCCTCTGGGCCACTGGAGGACAAAGGGCCCGATTCCCGAGTTATGGGGCTACCCCTCAGCCAACCACGGCCGGCCTTATTTGCATGCCACGCAGCCATTGGCTTATGCAAATTAGCAGACTTTGACACTCGGCTGAGTGGAGCGGAAGTGGGCGGAGCTACGCGGGAGGGAAGCCCACGGGTTGAGAGTGGTGCAGAAACCGGGTTGGTGGGGTCCTGAGCCAGCTCGGGGAGTTGGTGGAGCCATCTGGTGCGGAGGGCTTTGCAGGGGTTCAAGTGTCCTCAGCTCGGACTGGAACAGCCCTGCCTATTGTTTTTCTAGTTGTGGACATCTTTTGATTGTCGTTTCGTGTCGTTTGTCTGAAGGGGCTGCTTTTAAATTGTTTCCAGGGTCAATGCACCCGGGCCTAGCCGTCATTAGTAAGCGGATTATATTTTAAAAAGTGTCCAGATGTGCCAGGCAGCGTTTGCTTCAGAGATGGTATCTCTATGTAAGTTTCAGGCAATGCTGCTTATTCACAGTAGTATTCTTTTGGTGCCCTGATTTATTTTTCGTTGGTTACAAGAATTTGTTGGGTACAAAGAGAAAACCCAGCACATTGGTGTGTAGTGATGGCACAGTCTCAAGTTGGAATCTTTGCTGCAAAAAAAGCTGGTAAAATTTCTGCCCGCTCCATGTAAGGTGGGGGGAAGTTGGTGACCTCACTCCTCATGAGCCAAATTCACCCGATTCTGAACATCTTTCCCAAAGGCGCCTTCTGAGCCAGTCAGAGCTGAGACAAATGATGGTCCTCATAAGAGCCACAGTCTAAATTCAAAGTGCTGATGCCATTCCCTGAGCTTCCCTTCACAGGCAGAAGAGGATGACAACCAGTGCCTTCCACTGCCTATGATCTCACTCTGAATTACTGACGCTGAATCATGAAACTGTAACCATAGGACATTTTAGCCATGTGCTAAAATTTCACCTTTGAGATAATGGCAACTTGTAGGTTGGAAGGCAAACCTTCATAACTGCAAGCAGGAGTCACACATTAAAAGCAATTCTTAATGCAGACTTTTACTGAGTAGTTCAAAAGTCCCTTTGTTTTATGAGCTTATTCGATAAATAGAAAGCTTTGCCTGAACCTACTGAAGTAGCCAAAAAGTGATGAAACTGGGTCCCATATGCTTGCGTTCATAACAGCGCAGCGTATAGCTACAGAAGGAAATTTTGCAGGGGTACATGTGAGTTTTGCATCCTTAAGTTTTTATTCTTGTGGGCAAAATAATTTCCAATTTTCTTGATCTTAACTTAATGGAAAGGTGATAGGCTGGTTCACTTAGTGGAGATGGAATCTTATATTCAGTCCCTAAAGGCTTTGTCACTGAGAGACAGTGTTGAGTAAAGGAACAAGTGTCTGTATATGGCTTATCCTACCTCATGCCTGTGCCTTAAGTCTTTACATAAGATCTGCTTGTTGCATCATCGGGCCTGAGAGTCTAACTCATTGATAGAGACATTGCCTAGCATGCTCCAGGCCCAAGTTCAAACTTTGAGCCCTAGCCCTGCAAAATAACAAAAGGAACAAAATTTCAACATTGAAGCTTAGGCTTCGATTGTGATGGTTAATAGTGTTAATAGTGGTGGTCACCTTAATGGTGATCTAGAATAACCACCAACAGAAGCCTCTGGGCATGTCTGTGATGGGTCATCTAGATCAGGTTAGTTGAAGTGGGAAGACCTCCCCTCTAAATGGACAGCACCATTCCATGGACTGGGGGTCCTCTCTGTGTAAAAAAGAAAGTCATTCTTGACTCATTCCTGACTGGGGAGGCCAGGTGAACAGCCACTTCCAGCTCTTGCTGTCAAGCCTTCCCATGACGGTCTGTACCCAGGAGCTGTGAACCACAATAAACCCTTCCTCAAGCTACCTCTGTCACATACTTTGTTCCAGCAACAAGACAAGTAACTAACAGAGGAGAGCAGTAAAGCATTTTCCACTTTGCAAAACTAAAATTGCTCAAAACTATCTGAGTCATCATTTAGAGACAGGTGAACTGTGTTCCCTAGACTCCAAGGTTCTACCCATTAGAGATTTCTTAGAAGTTCTCTGGAAGGAATTGTGATTGCAAGCTGACAGAGAATTAGAGGATCATGTGACAGTAGACACTATGACTTCATTAATTTTGTGTCCTCAACACCCAGCACAAGTCGTACATTCAGCAGTACAGTGGGTGTCATGAGTTGAAAAGAATCTGAACGTTAACCAAGACCTTACGATCCCACAGTCCTGTGCATGTTCTCAGATAACCCACTTTCACATTACTTCAACAAGACAAGCACCAAACAATTCCTAGTCTATGGCCTACAAAGACTCCATGATCTAATTGTTATACACATTGTTTTAGTCAGGATTCCTTAGAGTAGCAGAACTTATAAGATGAATGAGTGCATGTGTGTGTGTGTGTGTGTGTGTGTGTGTGTACATATATATAAAGGGGATTTATTAGAATGACTTACAGGCAGGCTATGGTCCATTTAGTCCAACAATAGCTGGCTGTGAACAGGAAGTCCAAGAATCCAGAGGTTGCTCAGTCCATGAGGTTAGATGTCGCAGTTGGTCTTCGGTAGATGTGGGAATCATGGAGAAGTAGGCTCTAATGCCAGTGAAGGAAGAGACTTGCTAGTAAGGCTAGAGCAAACAGTCAAAGAGCAAATGCTTCCTTCTTCCATATCCTTATATAGGCTTCTAGCACAAGGTGCGGCCCAGATTCAAGGTGTGTCTTCCTGCCTCAAGACCTGCATTAAAGGTGTGTGCCTTGCCACCTCAAGTTTCAAATTAAAAGCATGGGTCTTCCTGCCTCAGAATCTGGATTAGAAGTGGCTCTTCCTACTTCAAATTAAGAAAAGAGAATCACCAGTGTGCCCCCCCCATTTTCAAAGTTTAGATATAGTCAACGTGACAACCAATAATAGCTTCACACTCGTGCTTTGAGACAAAACGGTATTCACTGTCCTCAGCTAGAACTTTCTCTTTTGAATGGAAGCTGCGGGAGAGCAGAACCATGGCCTGTTTACACCAATTCAGGTGGAATGTAGTGCAATAGTACCCCAGTGAAATCAGCTATGCTAACTTCAAAATGTGTATGAAATAGTAAGATATGATATTAGTCCATCAAAAATTATTCTCCATGCTATGTTTAGCCTTATTAAAGAAAAACATATCCTCCAAGTCTTGAAGGAGTCTTCTGGTCTTCAGAAATAACCATGCCATGTGACTCAGCTCATGTTGTGTTTCCTCACTGCCGAGTCCGCCCGGAGTGTTTCATCGGGGATTTTGTCTTCTGGGCCTGCTATAGGTGGAGGAAATGGGAGCTGCATTCAGCTTCCCTCTGGACTGCAGCTATATATTAGAGACCTGGATTATAGTCATAGATGTTTATAGTCAGCATAGCCCCAATATGCAAAGATACTGCATTCGTTAGTGTTTCTTTTGCCGTGGTAAAACACCAGGACGGAAGGCTTTGGGGTGGAAAGAGCTTACTTGGTTTATACATCCTGAATCACAGCACCGTTACTATTTTGTGACAGGGCATAAAACTCTCAATCCCCCTGCCTCGGCATCCTGCGTGTTGGAATTCTAGGTATGTACCATCATCATCACACCCTCCTAAAGTTATTTTTAGACTATTCCAGGTAGTCCCAGGTATTGAAGTACAGATGATTAGAGTGACATTTTAATTATATTTATAAAAATTCTAAGTGATTGTATCTGGGAGTTATGGGAAAATATGTACTGAAGAATTCTTAAGTTATTTTGCTATTTTGCATATTAAAGTCTTCGTGGCATCATCCTCAATCTTATCCTATGTGCATTTCTATTACTTGTTCTTTAATAGAGAATTAGAATGTTTCCTTCTTTCAAAAAGTAACCAGTACTACTGAAAAAAAAGTGCCTGTGATTTCAGAGTAGGGTCACCATCCCCTGCTCCAAACTGAAAATCATAAGTTATAAAATAATGAGGCTTCAACTTTTTGTTGCTCTTCTTTATCTGCATAGGATTGATTCGATTTCCTTTCAAAGCAAGTCTCTGAGTTTGCTTCTACTTTTCTTACAGAAGATTATTTAGACATGATTGATGGTCACCTAAAACTGTGTCTTTCCTTAGAATCATCATTTCCCCAATTTGTTGTGGCTTAGATATGATAGGCGCTCCTCCATCCCAAAGCTCAGGTGTCGAAGGCTTGGTCTAAAGTTGGTGGTACTACTTTAGAAGGCAGCAGAAACTTTAGGATCGTGGGGCTAAATGAAGAAGTAGGCAATTGGGGACGTGCTTCTGAAGGACATATCTAGTTCCTGGTCCCATCCCCTCTCTTGCCTCCCTTCTATGAGAAGGTAAGTAAGCAGCCTCTGCCTCATGCTCCCAGGCCACGATGGTCTCAGAACCGGCCGCAGTCATCAGAGTCTTGGAAACTCTGAGCTGTACCAAGTCTTTCCCACCTTCTTGATGTCAGGTGTTCTGTTTTCTCTGGAGCAAAGATAAGTGTGTCTAAAATAGAATGTAACATCAAGGTTTTGTTT